TGCTGCAGACATCCACCCCAACATCCACCCCAACATCCACCCTGCTGCAGACATCCACCCTGCTGCAGACATCCACCCTGCTGCAGACATCCACCCTGCTGCAGACATCCACCCTGCTGCAGACATCCACCCCAACATCCACCCTGCTGCAGACATCCACCCTGCTGCAGACATCCACCCTGCTGCAGACATCCACCCCAACATCCACCCCAACATCCACCCTGCTGCAGACATCCACCCCAACATCCACCCTGCTGCAGACATCCACCCCAACATCCACCCTGCTGCAGACATCCACCCTGCTGCAGACATCCACCCCAACATCCACCCTGCTGCAGACATCCACCCCAACATCCACCCTGCTGCAGACATCCACCCTGCTGCAGACATCCACCCTGCTGCAGACATCCACCCCAACATCCACCCCAACATCCACCCTGCTGCAGACATCCACCCCAACATCCACCCTGCTGCAGACATCCACCCCAACATCCACCCTGCTGCAGACATCCACCCTGCTGCAGACATCCACCCCAACATCCACCCTGCTGCAGACATCCACCCCAACATCCACCCTGCTGCAGACATCCACTCCACCATCTGACCCAGACCCATGGATACCTGGAACTGCCTGTAGGTCCACAGATAAACGTAGGTCTGCTCTCTGGGAAGCGGCCTGGTTCTGGTTTCTGGCTCCATCCTGGTTCAGGTTAGTTCCTGACTAACAGGGTTCTGGTGTGACTGGGAGCCGGGCTCCTGTTCCACCTTAACAATGAAGGAAACATGATCCACCAGGGACCCGGCCCTCACACACGCTCAGAGGAGGAGGAGGAGTTTTACCTGATCCATCTTCACCACTGCGCCTCTGTGATGAATCCACCTCGTCACTGAAATCAACCTCGCTATGCATGTGGCTTTGTGTGCCACACACACATTCCAGTTATACTGTGCCTGTGAGGACCAATACCCTCGCTGAGCCCTACAGTCACGGTTCATTGACTAAAAACAAGCTGTTCCTGGTTACCTGCTGGTGTGCTGAGGGTGCACACTTAATATTTCAGTAGGGTTAGCCATGTGTGTGTGTGGGGGGGTGGGGGGGTGTTTGGAGGTGTGTGTGTGTAGTGGGTGTGTATGCTACGGGGACGCGTCATGTTCAGTCTGGCGGCGTCTTCGCTGGGTTCAAACCCGAGGCAACGCTCAGTAAGCGGTTAAAACGAGTTGTTGGAATGCGGAAGTGACATCACCAACACGTGACTCGTTAAATGTTTGTCAGATTATTTATTTATTATTTATTTTTATTTTTTCTTATGTCTAAAAAATTGGTATATTTGAATAAGTCAATAAATCGGTGAAAAGGAATAAAGTAGTAAAAATGATTTTTTTTTTTATATAAATGCTGATTGTTTGTGGAGGTAATATATGGACCAAACTGATTTATGTGAGTAAATGAGAAATAAGAGAGCCTGAGGGGCGGGGCTTAAACTATTTATTGAGGGCTGTGGGAAGCAGAGCAGCCATGGCCAGGAGTCAGGGTGAGAGAGGACGCCTGGATGGTCGTTTGGTGCATGGCGCGTGTTTCTAAGCCGCTCCTGGAGTAATGTCCTGGGCCGTGAGTGGTGAGGAAACAGGAAGCGGTTCTGGTGGGATGGAAGAGGGAAATAGTGACAATGAAGAAGGTTGATAGATAGCAACATCTAAAAATGAGAAAAGGCGGAAAAAGCAGAAATCAGTTAAAGGGGAGTCCAGTTCAGAACAATCCAGTGATGATCAATCCATACATTCCACAGCAAAACAAAATGAATTCAAAGTCATATTCAAAGTCCTTAATCAGGCAGAATCTTTTACTAATTGGAATCCGGTTAGAGATGTCCCGATCCAGGTTTTTGCACTTCCGATCCGATACCGATACTGGCCGATACCAGCCTATCCAAGCGTTTATTTAAGTTTAAGTTAAAGTATTTAGCCTTAGTTGTAGGACTCATGTTGAAAAGGGTTTTAGTACTCTTGATAACATCTAGCCAGCTGAATTAGGTGAGATTGAATAAAACACAATGCTTGGTAACAACAAACTTACCTGTTTATTAAGAGATAAACACAAACTGGACAAAATTATGAATAGCAATCTAATATTGCACAGTGAGCAGTAAAACCGTAAACAGTTAAAGGTGCAAGTATTACTGTAAGTTTTAATAAAAATGCAAAACAGACAAGAGTGGAAAATAGTCTATTAACTTAGAATCAGGACTCTACTCTTGAAAAAAAGACACTGCTTAAAAAAAATCAGTGCAAATAATAGTTACACAAAAATGCCTTATACTCCCCAATCTCCTCCACACCTAGTCTCCATCTACACATGGATAAAATAATCCCACACGGCTGACATTTTCCCCGCTATCTTCCAATTCACCTGTTTTAATGGTTAGGCTGGGAGACAGACCCAAAAAGACCTGTTCTGGAAAATACGGACCGGATTCGGGGAACACTGGCGCAAAATAGTGGAATGGATCGTTTCAATTGGCGAAACTGGAAAATACGGACCGGATAAAAAAAAAAAAAACTGGATCGGCAGTCTGGATCGGCATTTTTACATGCTTTGCCGATACGCATTCTTTTGCCAATATCGCCGTCCGATCAGATACGTGGATCGGATCGGGACAAGCCTAAATCCGGTTCACTTAATAAAAACCATAAATAAACTAGGAGGAGAAGTCAGAGGAGCCAGAATCCTGTAGAGTGGAGACCTGCTAATAAACTGCAGGGACAGCGCCCAGCAAGGCAAAGCCATACGGATCAACAAGATGGAGGGATAAGAGTTCAGAGCAGCTTAATGGAGAACAAAAAGATCAGCAGGGTAGTCATTGGAGGAGTTCCTCTAAGAGTTTCTGAAAAAGAAATTGTAGAAAACATAAGCAGTGCAAAAATAAAAGAAGTAAAACGATTAAAAACAACAAGAAACGGAGAAAGATCTGACAGTTTATCGGTGCTAATTAAATTCGAGGAAGAGTAATTTCCCAGCAAAGTATTCATCGGTTACATCAGTTATAATGTCAAAATCTACAATCCTCCACCTTTGAGGTTCAATTGCCAAAAATCCAGTCACATAGCAGCAGTTTGTAAAGGAAAGCAGAGGCGTGGAAGGACTGCAGGAGAGTATGAGTACAGAAAATGTGGGAAAGAAGCTGAAATAAAATGCTGTAACTGTGGTGGAGAACATACTGCTGCTTATCGCGTCTGTGAAGCAGCAAAAGGTCTGAGGAAATAAAAAAAATGAAATTTGAGCTCGGAATAACCTACCATGAAGCTGCTAGAAGGATCCCATCTCAGTTAGAAAAACCCAAACCTACAGTTCAACACACGGCAGATTCCAAACCTCTAGAGCAGGCATCCCCAGTGTCTGTCCTCAAGGCCCCCTCTCCTGCAGGTTTTAGAAATTTCCTTCCTCCAGCAGCTGATTTTAATTGAGAGATGATTAACAGGCTGTTGCTCTAATGCAATCATTATAATCAGCTGTTTTAAAGCAGGGAAACCTCTAAAACCTGCAGGACAGCGGCCCTCGAGGACCGACTTTGGGGACGCCTGCTCTGGAGAAATGTCCAAAAATTGATGAAGACTCACTAATTGTTAAAAAGAAAGATTTAGTTCTATTCATGGTGGAAATGATTAATTGTAGCACAGACGACGAGAAAAACCAAAAAACTGAAAATAATAGTGAAAGCAGCAGAAAAATATCCTTAAAGATTTGAACTGGGAGATGGTTGGAAGCATGATGGGAGGACCGATGGGACCATCAGAAACTAGCAGAGTGACGATGACTTAAAGTTAAATTAAAATTATACGGGCAAATGTGATTTAGTATTTATTATGTTGGGTTAAGTTACACAGTTTGTTTTTTAATGGGGTGAATCGTTTCATTTCCTTGCTTTACTCCATATCAGTTGGTGGCGGTAATGCATTTCTCACAAGTTTGCCAACCGCCATAAAACCTCACAAGAAGAAGATGAGCGGCCATTTTGTTTTCTGTTTCTTGAGTGCTCTGTTAAAAAACCTAGGACGCGTCGTTAGAAGGCCAGATTCGAAGTATGATGATGTCATAGCGCGGCGCCGAGGTCTGGTCGGATTCCAAGACTCTTCGTTATGCGGCCTTAAAATGCGTCCTTCTTTTTGCCCGATTTGAAGGACGGGTCCGACGTATCCTCGGTATTCTTGGATATCCCAGGATTCATTGCGAGACCAAGCAAGCTGTGATCAGAGGAAAGGTTACTTGGCGCCGACCAGTGGTGAAAATTGGAAGTTCAGTTTGATATAATACAACTCTGTGAATAGTTCCGTCTGAAATGAATGAAAATAGTTGTTTTAATGGTTATCCGCTATTTTATATATTTAGAATGTTTTTAGAGCATAAACAGTAGTGTATAGGATTTCCTAAAAGCGCGTTCACGATTCTACGGAAGCCGGCAGACCAAACCAGCGCATTCAGCTCGGCAAAGAACTCATGCTCTTCCTCAACACTGAAGTCCTCAGACATTTTTCTTTCGTTGTTTCTTTCTTTGCACAGGTAAACAGCACATTTCTTCTTCTACGCTTGCATTATCGGCAGAGCAGACGCTGAATGCGCACTTTCATCTGGTTTGGTCTGCCGGCTTCCGTAGCGTCGTGAACGCGCTTTTAGGAAATGCTATAAACTACTGTTTATGCTCTAAAAACATTCTAAATGACTTCGTTTCGAGTAAATTCTGGACGCTACCCACTCAGGACACTTGGAATACATTGGACGAGCAGTATGGAGGAATATTGACACGTTTTTGTGGACTTTTATGGACCTTTCTGTCTCGGGCGCCATAGACCTCCATTATTTGAATGTCAGCAGACAGCAAGAAGCCTCCCAGATCTCCAGATGCATTTGAGATATCAAAAAAGTACTCCAGAGTGTTGTTCAGCATGGGGGGGAGTAGAAAATGAAGGCTAATCATGTTTTGGGTGTACTATTCCTTTAAGCTGTTGAAGCTTTTTTGTGCATTCTTGTTGTGCTGTGTACAGCGTGTCCCAATAATGTATTCACATTTTAAAACATTACAGTCTATATGTTAATTGAAACACTAATAATTGTTAGAGTGTAACAAAATAACCCTGTGACTCTAAAATACAGAAATATGAATAACATCTGACCTTTTTTTAAAAATGTGAATATATCTGTGGCTCAATGTATACTGTACGCTATGTGCTTCACAAACCTTGCTGACAGACGCACAGAAATACCTTTTAAATATTTTTATGCGTTTGTCACATGAAACTATTTAACACCATTTTTTATCATTCCATTTGAAGAAGGATATCTATGCCAACAAGTCAGTGAGCACAGTTATACACACAATTGACTTTCAAGCAAAGTATTGTCAGCATTCAGTTTAAGACAAGTTTTTGAATATTATGTTTCCATGTGGAACAGTGTTCTACAACCAGAACATTTCCAAAACATGACCCTAACTGGACATTACCATGATAATAATTGACAATGTATTGACAGATGGTGCTCCGGGACACATCAGCAGTTGTTTTGGTGCGGTGCAGGTGTTCCTGTGTTGCAGGTACAGCATTGTGCAATCATGCTGTGGTCCTTCTCTTTCAAACAGCACATTACTCAGAACTGCATGTACCAGTTGTCCCCCCCCTGTACACATCTGTACAGAGTTAGCTCAGCAGTGGCACAAACCCAGGACAGCCGTAACTTTCACAGCAATACCTGTTTTGCACATATTCTTTCACATGAATGAACGGTGCAGTTTTCCTACAGCTTAAAACTTCTAATATCAGTAATAAATTCTGCAGAACTTGTGTTTTCAGTCATTTTTGCCTTTAGCTTTTCCCAGAAGATGCCAAATTTTGACCCAACACATGCCAGCTTTTGGCAGCTATTGCATCATTTATTTTCACAGGGTATAAAACCTGGTCCAGTTTCAGACCTGAACCTGGTTCAGACTGTTCAGAGTCGGAAGGGCAGAGGAGGATTACGGTAAGTGTAAATAACTTCATATCATGTTTAAAGTGGTGTGTGTATAACATACATGTCTATGTGTGATTGCAGAAGGACCCTTTACCGAGGAATGATCGGTAAATTCAAGTCTGCGTGTGGATGAAGTGTCTTACCTCCAGAGGAAAGGCCCCTTATTACCAAAATGGGGATTAGTACAGACAGGCGACATGTTCAGTCAGCGTTTGGACTTGTTCAGAGGGGGGGTGTACTCTCCTACCAACAGCCGAAACGTGACTCCCGATCCACAGAGGTGCATCAACATGCTCCACCTCCTCCATCCCTCCCCCTAAGGAGCCACCAGCTGTCGCCAACAGACTGTCTGCACTGAAGAAGAGCAGTTGCATCTGCAGAGCCTTCAGTGCGCTACATGCACTAGGCTTAGTGACGTACTTCCGATTCAAGGCATTACTGCTCGGTCGTTTCCGGTCCGCGTATTTACATTGCGCTAGCTTGCAGATTTGGCAATATTGTTTGATGTCATTATGAAAAGGAAAGTGTTAAAAACTTGTCGTTTTCAAAAACAAGAAAAAAAGTATTCAGAGCACTGCTGTGTTCCTCTCTGCACAGCATCGTCAAAATTTAACGGCGTGTTAAGTTTTCATGGCTTTCCGACACAGACCCATCAGAGAAAACAGTGGCTAGTTCGCATTCGCCGGGATCATTTCGACATCACCTCTCACTCAAAGGTCTGTAGCAGACACTTTACCAACGATCAGCTCATCGAACCAGCAACACTTGACGGTGGAAGACGGCTCGTTAAAGGTGCTGTACCGGCACTTTTTGAGTGGAATGGCTATTGTGTTGAACCAGCACGGCGCAGTGTGTGGGAGAGAGTGGAGCGGCCTGAGGCAGCTCCTCCCCAGAAGGATGAAGAGCACCTCCATGTCAGAGATGACCATGACTATTGCTCCGTCCCTGAACCAGCTGCAATGGACATGTCCGCATCAGCTGCTGAAGATGTGTCCACAGAAGAGCTGAGAAAGGAGATACAGGAGCTACGTCTTCAGCGAGAGTTTGGATTACAGCGGTTTGCTGGCTCGGACGCAGACATCCGATTCTATAGGAGGTGAGTTAATCAGCCATATATTCCAGCTGTTTAACATTCACTAGGACTATGATCAGTTAATCATAACAAAACCTGTAATCACTTTTGATAAAGAATGTTTATTTGCTTAGAAAATGTGGTTAGAAAATAGTTCCTGATAAAATGCAGCGCTAAATTGCTTCTTAACCAGTCCATCTAAATTATACATAACACGCAATATGAAATGTAATCCTAGTTGTTGCTGTTCATATTATTTTGTGTGATTTTTAACAGCTACGCTAATTGTGACATGGTGTACCTGTGATATGTGTGTCTTTTGTGAATAGATTTTCAAGCTATGAGCACCTGATGTCGTTTTGGTCTCTGATTCAGCCTTGCCTTCATAAAATGGTCTGGGTCACAAGAGCCAAATCAGCTGCCAAAAGAAATGAAGAAGTCATCACTCCTGCACGTTCATCAACGGTAGGTTATCATTAGAGTGTGATTTATTGGCAGTTTCAGATGTAGTGATGCATTTTTGTGCAAATCTAAAGGGTAAATTATGGGTTTTAGTCTCACTTAAATACAACAGTTCCCTAGACACTCCTGGTTTTCTCCATGTTATGGTATACATAAGATTTACAAACATTTAGCCAAACAAGAGCATTGACCTATTTCATATGTTAAATGAGTAGTAACAATTGTATTAATGAGGTTTGTGTGAAATACTTGTCCATAGTCAGTTCATTATGTACAGTAGATGGTCATCAATAAGCCCTTAACTTAGAGAAGCAACATGAGTACTCTTGTGGACACTATCCACAGCAACATCATTTACACGCCTAAAAAAAAAAACAGTCTGAAGTTGGTGCACAGTTTTGAAAAAATCTGAAATTTTTATTTCACAGAACACAGGAATTGCAGGTTAACTGCTGGATCTATCTGTTATGTGTGTTACTGTGTGACTGATAAATATGAACTAACTATTTACTGGTTAATAGTTTTTTTCTCATCAAATAGTCTGTATGGCAGCAAGACAGAGAGGTGTTGGGAGCTGGAGAAAATACCATTTTTCTCCAGCAGAGTCCGCCGTGGATCCTCTGAGGGAGCCTCCTGCACAGGTGCAGCTCATCAAGACCATCAGAGGATCCACTACTTAAGCTGCCTTCAGACCTTACCTCAACGCCGCAGTGTTGTTCCAGTTGGGGACTCGTGCTTCCTCCGTGAAAGCTCTGGAAGAGCTAACCTGCCGAGCCGACCCTCCGAGCCAAACCCTGAAGATTCTCAGTCAACCTCTAAGCAGCTCTGGGCAAGAGCTAGGAAACCCAAGCCAAGGTCTGTTCTAATAAGACGTGAGACGCTGAAGCAGCTAACGGACTCTGCTAACACATCCTTCTCCAGAACCAACAGTGACTCTCCCAAGGAGAACCTCAAGAACCCTCAAGACTCCGGTGAAACCAGATTCCAGGCCCAAACCAGTCATCTGCATATTACGTGCTTGTGCAAATAAACTTGTTAAACTTTTCATCCTGTGTCCGTCAGTGGTGTTCTGCATCTTTGGGTCTCCATTAGAGAACCGATCATGACAAGAGGTGAAAGTATTTTAAATACGGCGTACACTACACTGATAACATTTTTTTTAGGTGTCTATAATTCATGTTGCTGCTGACCCTGTCCACAACAATGCATTACTTAAAAACCTATAACAATACTCCTACTGCTTCTACAAACTGAGGGCATGCCAAGCACCATCTCCTGGAGGTAATAATACACTGACTATGAAGAAGTACCTCAAACAACCACAAATAATCTGAACAGTTCTTTGAAGGAGGAACCTTTTTTTTCCTTCTGCATTTTTACCTCCTAGCGACAGCTGCTCCAGCCCATTGATGAGTTCTTTCATTGATGAGTTCTTTCATTGATGAGTTCTTTCATTGATGAGTTCTTTCATTGATGAGTTCTTTCTGGCAAATCGTTTCAACGTACACCAGTCCACAGCGAGCCGCATCATTGCAACATGGACAAGTTTTCTAGCCACTGCAATGGGGTCTGTTTGCATTTGGCTTACACCTGCAGAAGTGCAAGCCAACCTCCCTGAGGAATTTCAAGATTTTCCAGACACCCAGGTGATCCTAGATTGCACAGAGATCCTCACCCCTCCTTCAAAGTGAGATGTACTCCACATACAAATCTCACTGCACCATGAAAGGTCTGGTTGGCATAGCCCCACATGGTGCAGTGACATTCATCTCAGAGTTGTATGGTGGTTCAGTTAGTGATAAGGAGATATTTAGACAGTCGGGAATAGCCGAGTTGCTGACAGAAGTCTCATTGTCATTAGTAGCAATCTCACAGCTGAACTTGATTCATATCAATAATCTAAAGTCATCAATTCAATAGCTGTGACCCAGGGCCTTCCATATCTGGTGCAAGCAGCTCATGACAAACATTACATTTTTATATCTATAGTTGAGATCACAACTAAAACCTGTAAATTTTCAGTGTCGGCCAACACAATCTTACCACATATCTAATACGTTGTAAAACATTTTTATCAACATCAATGTGTTACAGTTCAAATACAGTTTAACTTTACAAAAGTATTGCCTGTAACGAATGAATTTGTTTGATGTAAATGAAGTTAAACCTAACATTGTTGAAATCATTCACATTTACCAGTACATGTTGAATCAAAAGACAAAGGCAGTAACGGTTGAATTATGCATTTAACGATTTACTCAAAATTACCTTTTCAATCATCACATTGTCTTTTCTGTGAATAAAATGTTTTATTTATATTTTTGGCATTCATGTTTTTACTTAAGACTCTGAAAAAGTGTGTCAAATAAAACATCAATTAGCTATTGAAAATGCTAAAACTATTGGACATTTAGTATGTCTGAACTCTAACATATGGGATAAATGTGTAAAATCAAGTGCCTTAATCTACCAAATCACATGTTTCAATGACTGACATTGATCAGGAAATATACAAGGATATAATACTAATATACAGTTGTGTAAAAAAGTATTTGTCCCCTTCCTGGTTTCATATTTTTTGCATGTTAGTCACACTTCAATGTTTCAGATCATCAAACAAATTTAAATGTGAGACAAAGATAACACAAGTAAAAAGAAAATGCAGTTTTTAAATGAAGACTTTTATTATGAAGGGAGGAAAAAATTCCAAACTTAAATGCCCCTGTGTGAAAAAGTGATTGCCCCCCCTGTTAAAACATAAATAAACTGTGGTTTATCACATCTTTGGAAAGCTGAGTTCAATTTCTCTAGGCTGGATTACTGCCACACCTGTTCTCAATCAAGAAATCACTAATAGACCAAAAGATCCTCAAAAGTTAGACATGCTGCGATCCAAAAGAAAATCAGGAAAAATGTAAAAACCAAGTAACTGAGATCTGTCTGGCAATCACTTTTTCACACAGGGACATTTAAGTTTGGATTTTTTTCCTCCCTTACTAATAAAAATCTTCATTTAAAAACTGCATTTTCTGTTTACTTGTGTTATCTTTGTCTCACATTTAGATTTGTTTGATGATCACAAACATTTAAGTGTGACTAACATGCAAAAAATAAGAAACCAGGAAGGGGACAAATACTTTTTCACACAACTGTAACTATGATAGATTTGTCAGCTGTTAATTTAAGAGCCCCAGTATTCAGTGTGCATTCTTAACACAATTTATTCACACAATTAAACTGATTAGGACACATTTTATGTAGTGCATTGTATGAGAGTTAGGATGCAGCTTGGGTTTTCCTCTGCTTTCATTGCTCATTTTTCAGACAGGTATTTTGGCATGTATGTGTAGAAAAAGAAATGCTCTGCTTTATCTCTGATTGCTCTCTGAACTTCTGGATCTACAAATATTCGTTGCACAAGATAGTCCTCCTGCGCCCACACAACAAAGTCGCACCACTGCATCCCTGTGATGAGCAGCTGTCCTTGCACTTGCCAGTAGTACGCATGGCTCTTCTTAAGTTGAGGGGAACACATTTGTACATATTTACAGTCAATGAAGTTGTGCACATTTGGGCATTTGAATTCAACAAGTCCAAACTGGGGATATTCAGTGGGGTCAAAAACAACACCATCAGGGGACGCAGCAAGCCAGGGTGAAGCAGGGTGGATGACAAGACCGCAAGGTGCATAATTAACATTTACAAGCTGACTGTACTCAGCTGCTACTGCTGGCTCCATCTCAGAACCCCTCCTCATGTCTGCTTTGTTCCCTTTAATATGCGCTCTGCAAGTGACTCTGCAGAGCTCTGGCCTCTGACATGACACACCTCGCCAGACCTAGATGCAGTCACCCTTGGTCGGCGGAGAAGATGCCACTCAGAGCAAGAGCTTTGCTCACGTGTAGCCTGCTCAATTTTGTGAGCCATCTCCATTGTCACGGTCAAGCTGCTGAGATGTAGTAGCTCCTCTTCAGAGCACACAAACGCACAGGCAGATGGCAATATGGTGTAATCCTCTAGAGGCAAGTGTGGGGTTGGTGGTGCGTCATGGTGGAGTGTGATATGCCGGGATGACAGTGCTGGCTTTTGGTAAGAAAGAACACTGCCCCTCTGCACCAGCCCAAAGGCACTTTCCACAAGGGGCTTGTCAGGTCCCATGTTCATTGTGGTTACGAGTGGCCTGTCCTCCATGCTGAATTTAGCATATACCTCCTCAATTCTGAACATACAGGGGTCTGGCAAGGGACCCACCATACCTCTGTAGAATCCACTTCTATAAAGCACATTAATAAGGAAAAGTGAAGAAAACAGAAAATTAAATAATAATGCATCAACAGTATTAACAGAATTAACAGCAGCATATGTAGTAAAATGGGAAATTCAAATTACCTCACTCCAGTCTGCACCATCCTGTTTGGTACTGGCTTAGTGAAGACCATGGACTTGATAGGCCCTGGCCTGACACCCTAAGTAAGAAGACATTTTCAGTGGAAGGAGTCACCTAAAAAATATGACCAAAAAACATAATTTAACTTCTTTGTATAGTTACCATTGTTCGTGGCTTGTGCCATTGCTGCTCAGATTCTGTGCAGCTATGCACAGGGGGCACAACTGGTGTCCTGAGCTGAGAGCAATGTGCTGTTTGAAACAGCAACGCCACTGTATGACTGCACACAACAGTTCCTGCCACACAAGAGTGCGAGTCACCACAACTGGCGATGAATCACCAAACTCAATCTAAGAAAAAAAGGGGAAAAAATAATGTAAGTCCTGTCATGGTGATATATATACATACATATATATATACATACATACACATATATAAATATATATATACCGGTATATATATATACATACATATATATATATATATATATATATATGTATAACAATTGTTACTGTTGACCTGTGCTGCTAGAAGAACCCTACCCCCTCGAATGCTAATGTTACCTCTTCTGCCTATTGACATAAATACAACTAAGTTTTGCTTGATAACCATAACTCCTTAGATTATGTAAATTTATTTTCTGTCACCTGGGTATGATAAAGCAGAGAAGTATGAAAATATTTAGCTTAGTATGTCTTGATGTATTAATTAATGCTCAACTGAGTGGGAATGAACATTTTCACTGCTTCCTGCCTACACTCAAACTATGCGGCGTCTCATTCTTCCTCATGGACCTGTAGCACAAAGCTCTGACGCTGATCTGCCCTGAGAGCCTGTCTTTGTTGGACACTGAATGAAAAGACAAATACAAGTCTCATTACCGTTAGATCTGTATTGATCACATATACACATCTTACAGATGTGACTCCTTACGTTGGTTGTAACTTCAGGTAGCTACATAACATTACTGCCATAAAACTCAAAACAGTATCTTAAAAATAACACAATTTACCAAATTAACAATGCCTGATATAAATCGTTGGGTAGGATGTCACATTACGATATTGTAAAACAATATTAGGAACAGATAAATAAAGTGGCGTTACGGGTTAGTTAATAAAAAGCTGGTAGCTACCGCTGAACTTCTACAGCGGAAGCTAACAGTTAGCATTTCGCGTTAGTTAGTCAATAGTTGTTTTCTCACCTTCATAGTTGTGTATATATGACGCAGCATATAACTTGAAACCTTTATCCAATTTGCTGGACAGTGTTTTAGTTATCCTACCAATCCGATGGACATCGGTGATGTTTAACTTTGGCAGCTCCTGTAAACACCGAGTGTAGAACGTCGCCATCGCTGAACCGGAAACTGAGGAGTAGCACTAAGTTAAACCCGGAAGTGTTTGTGCAATCAGCCCATTAACCATGGAGATGGCTCACAAAATTGAATCCTCTACCAGGGCGCAGAGCAAAGACCAGGATTGGCACGTGCTTCGGCAGAGCAGGGTAACCTCCTCAAGTGTGCCACGTTAGGGGTCACAGCTCTGATGAGAATCTTACAACATGAGGAGAGGCTCTGAAACGGAGTTTCAAGCAGCCAAAGAGTATGTGAAGTGCAACAACGTAAATGATGCAGCTTGTGGGCTTGTACTCCATCCTCAGGCTCCGTGGTTAGGAGCCTCACCAGACGGCCCGGTTTACCATCCAACTGCCACGCCATGTTACGGTTTAGCTGAGATAAAGTGCCTAAACGTGAAGATTTACATTGACTGTAAATTCTTACACATGTGCAATGGCACGTTTACACTTAAAAAAAGCCATGCAGACTTTTGGCAAGTACAAGGCCGGCTCCTCATTACCGGATTGGAGCGGTGCGACTTTTTAGTTCGGGCAGAGGAGGATTACTTTATTCAGCGACTGCAAGCTGATAAAGATGTACAAGGCATCATAAGGCAGATCTTTCTTCTTTAGCATCTACATGCCGAAGTATCTCTCAATGAGACGAGCTCAGCTGATCGCCAAATAATAACTTTGATGTTTTATTGTACAGTCAGTGCATATTAAATATTTCAGAATTAGTTTGAAATGAAATCAGAACATCTTTTTCAACTTCATTCACACAATATTGAATCATTGTACAGTTTCACAATCATTTTATAACATCTCTTAATAAAAAAAGAAAACGTTGTGCGTAGGCTTTTGATTTTTCTCTGTAACTACAAAGGAAACATCTGTCAGTGTTACTTAGCCCATCTCCTGACAAGGTCTTTGTTTTAATGGTTGCTAAGCAGGCAAGCTACTGCAAACAGTTCATTAAAGCAGCCTACAATGGAAAGAGGTATATATTATATTCTCTTTAACCCGTCGGATAACGCGCTCAACGCGAACTCTTAGGCTACGTTCACACGTAATGCTCAATTCCTTAATGCTCAATTCCGATTTTTTTGTGAAGTTGAATTTTTTGCGTGTCCGTTCACACTTCCAAGTATATGCGACTTGTATGTGATCTACTGTGTGAACTGAAAGCGTTCAACCGAAGTGTCCCGCATGCGCACTCGAGGACGCAATGACGTCACATGTAGCAAGCGTCCTCAGTGTTTGCGGAAGTAAACATGACTCGTAATACCGCAGCGTATATTGCGTTCTTTAAGTTCTTCTCCAACAGGAGCAGGCACATTACGAACAAAATCTTTTTAAGAAGATCAAAAAGAAAGAGAGCCAGATTTCTTGCAATGGCGTTTTGTGGCGCAGTAATAGCAACAGAGAAGCGTGTGGGTGCGGAGTCGAAGCCAGGAATGGTGGGATAGCGATGTGAGCGGCTTTAGTGATACGGAGTTCCTTCATAACTTTCTGTTCATAGCTCTCTGTGTTATCTTCCGCCATGGTTGTTAGTTTTTCCCGCCTCCGCTTAGTAGGATGCAGATTAGTAACGTTTAGTAACATTTGTCAAGTATCAATGACGTGTAGGTCGGATGAATGCGACCTGGCCGTACAGACACAGGTCGCATTTGAAAAGATCAGATACGTATCGGATTCAGGACCACAGAGCCAAGTGGCCTGGGTCGCATTTGAAAAAATCCGATCTGTGTCGTTCAGACTGTCATAAAAAGATCAGATACAGGTCACATATGGGCAAAAAAATCGCAATTGGGTCACTTCAGGCTGCAGTGCGAACGTAGCCTTAGACTGGCTGTTTTCTGTGTTTTGAGGACGCTCTGTGCTGACATCTTAAGACTTTTTGAGAAAAGGTGGACAGTACACCTTGCATTTCACCAAGTCATTAATTAGAAAGCCTTTATCGACCATAATGGCCACATCCTCTGTCAGAAGGTCACTTAACCCTCTAAAAACCTCTTTATCACCAATTGATCCCTCATAGAGAGAAGAGGTGAGAGTGATAGGGCCATGGGGGGCTATCCCAATAATGGCTTTCATTGTGCAGTGAGATTTATAGGATGAGTACATCTCACTTTGAATGACAGGAGAGGATGGGGTTTGGCATTTTAGCTCGGTACAGTCCACTATTATCTGCGTGTCAGAAAAGTCCTTGAAGTCATCAGGAAGGTGAGCTTTCACATCCTCAGCCTCCATCCAGATGGACGCTGAGCCCAGGAGGGTGTACAGGAAGTTGGTCCAGGAACAGATAACGCGACTTACGGTGGAGGTGAGGAATCTGTTTGCCAAGTCCAGCTCTGTGTAACCAGCAGACAGGTTCATCAGGAATAGGAAGAACTCATCAATGGGTTGCAATGACTGTCTCTGAGAGAAAACAAACAATATTCACTTTAAAATTGGCATGAATAGTAATCGACAGTGTGTCTGCACTAAAATTCAGTGCCATATGTTTATTATCCCCTAGAACCCTACGGACCCACCGGCGGGTCCAGCTGCTACGTGACCTCGTAATTTTAACAAACCCCCAGTATTAATGTAAAAAAAACACATTTGGCACAGTTTGGTGACATTTATGGATAAATGTGCCAAAATGGCCTCTCCGCCTAAGAAATTTCTCACTAATACCATTCTAAAATAAATATGATTCATCTGATTGAGTCCAAATTTGGTATATTTTTACACGACATTTAGAAAACCAGAAAACCATTCTATGACATCTTACCTTTACAGACGTACCAAAAGTTTCTTCTTAAATCTAATAGCTGTGAGGCTATAAGTGATTTACTTTTGTGTGTTTTTGTCAGGCAGAAATTTATTTATACCCCCTGAGGGTGTAAGAGGTTAAAGAAAGATGACCCAAGCAGACATAAAATGCAGTTTGTCAGTGATTATATCATTTGTTAAGAGAGTAACGCCATAAAACCTACGTGTGTGTGAAAAAGTAATGTATTTAATTAATGTTTACATCTTTGGTTATCTAAAAATAGTAAGTGTACCAAATGTGCAAAAAAATAAATAAACAGTAGGGGGCGAAAACATACACAATGCGACTGGTTTCCCATAATTACATGGCTATAATTTCAAGGGCAATTAATTATTAAACCAATGCCAACAATAATAAGATAAACAACACAATTGCCTACCATTAATGCTGGACGGACAGATGTTAGTTCTTCATTCATCCTCTCAGCAGCTTTGGCTCTGGATGCACCAACCATTTTATGCACAGATGGTTCAATCATTTCCCAAAAAAGCACTAACTCGCTATAATTTGGAAATCTGCAAAAGGAGAGAAGAAAAAGTATTAGTTTATAAAAGGTTCCTATTTGATGACAAACTCATATTATACTAATGTGGGGCTAATTGTTTACCTTGTGTAGAGTCGGATGTTGGCGTCAGATTGGATGAATCTTTCCAACACAAATAGCTTAGCTTCGATTCCATAAATTGCTTTTCTAAGGCTTCGTTTCTCTCTTCCAATTCCTTGATCCTGTCCAGGGCCATATCCAGGTATGCTGCTTCTGGTGCTTTAGGGTAGTCATGATCATCAGGTGTGTGTGTGCAGTCCATTGCTTGCTCCTCATCTGACGGCTCTGGCGTGTTTACCTGCACCCTCTCCCAAACACTCAACCTCGGGTGGAGTCGTAAAATTGTTCCACTTGAACAGTACCGGGACAGCTCCTTTCTGTAATCGCCTTTTCCTCTGTTTTTGGTGGAATTGTTTGCTCCTTGAAGAAATGCAGGCTGCAGAGCTTCGTATGGCGCGTGGGGACCAACTGTTGGCGGCGGATGCTGACTAGCCATCTCTTTCTCAGCTCTAAATCGCTGAGAAACGTGTGGAAGCTCAACACTCCATTATATGTGGATGATGCCGACCACAGCGGCACACAACAGTGTTCGTGGTATTGCTTCTGTTGCTTGCTAAAATGAAAGCGGTCCTTTTTAAGACT